GAAAGACGCGTCCTCCTCTAGTTTAGACACTGAAAGACGCGTCCTCCTCTAGTTTAGACACTGAAAGACGCGTCCTTCTGTAGCACGAGGAATGAGCAACGTTCAGTTTTCTTTGAACTGCTAGCACAAATACTCAGGTACCCCAGTGAGACCTAAAGAAACACCTTGTCCCACCTCCCCATCAGAACCAGCCTTAATTATTCATTTTACTGGGGGTGTAGATGTCTTACTGGGACTGCTAAGTGAACACCAGCAGGTCCTGGGGGGTCAGAGCAGCTCTATGGGACAGACAAGTCAGGGGCTTCATTGTGAACGCTCACACATACTTGCAGAGCAAAGACGATCCCCGCAGCCAGAAGCAACTTGCAGAAACTGAAGAATATCCAAATGTGTAAAAATACACACTGAAGTCACATGTTCATCTTCTATTCATAAGCACCAGCCCCTCGTGCACAAACGCACACCCCCACGTCCCCTGGTTGGGTCTGTTGGTGACCCCCTGCAGGGCTTGGGCTGCTCCGTTATCACACATAATCACTCCCATACATCACAGCTGTGTGCATGTGTGTGTGTGTCAGGGTGAGGCGGCAGCATCTGTCAGGGATCAGTCTCTGGCTGACCAGTGGTTCAGTGTCACCAAGCAAAGCACTGAGAGGCGTCTTTAAGGACTGAGCCCAGTTCCTCCTCCTGTTCCAGACATGCTCTTTATGTTTCCCTCTTTTGTCCGGGTCACTGTTTCAGAGGCAGCTCTGGCCAAGAGTTGCTCTCTTCCTCCATGTAGTCTCCTCTGCAGCTGGCCTTCGCCTCGAGTCCCCTCAACAGATGCTGTATATTTTGGGAGTTGGACATGTGAAGCATTAAATTAGTTGAAATTCCAGTTGTAAATGGCAGATGGAAAACTTTTTTCAAGACATGAACTTTATTGCCCCTAGCAGAGATTTGGCTTCACCAGCTGAGATCATGTGACTGGAATTACCAACTGAACAATGGAAAATACCATTCAGTAAATTTAATTGAGAAATTTTGATTTGAAGCGATTTAATAAAGAACGTGAAGTAACGAGGTGACAGGCCACACAGGCCACCAGATTCTTGAATTCTCAACAAGAATTATTTCCTTGTCATTTAGTGACGAGGAGCCATGTCTCTGTAGGTTGGTCCAGTCTCCCTCCAGTAGGATCGTGATTGTTAGTGAGAGTCACTTTGCTTGGATTTTTCATGATTCTCACTTGTAAGAGAATAAGAGACGACCTTACCTGCACTAAAAGCTGCTTTCAAGAGCCCATCTCTTATGAAGTTGGGTATCTTTGTGTTCAGTTTGACTCCTGTTAATAAATCCAGTAATGATGAAAACATAAATGGACTGTACTTGTGTAGCGCTTTTCTCTTATCAAGATACTCAAAGCTCTTTACAACAATCTGTTCCTCATTTACCCGTCCACACAGTTCTCTACTACATCTATAGAAATAATAATCAGAGCTTAATCACATTCAGACACCGATGGGACACACATCGGAGGCAATGAGGGGTTCAGTGTCTTGCCCAGGGACACTTCAGCATGTGACTGCTGCTGGAGTCGAACACCCGACTCTCCCACTGGAGGACACCTGCTCTAACCACTCAGCCACAGCCACCTCCGTGACTCACGTGTAACACAGTAAAAATAAGCATCAAAACTTCATTTGTTTCAAAGATGAACAGAAAAACAGACACCTACTTTAAAACAAAGTATATTAGTTTTTCTGAGTACACATACAGCTGGAGGATGGTATCTAGTACATCTTGTACATCTGAGGCTTTTGTTGGTGCAGAAGTGACATTGTTTAGAGCTGAGGAAGATAAAGTTTCAGTTGTCACTTCAACTAAGATTCAGTTTGGTGAAGAGCTCCACAAACTGCACATAGAGTTCATGCTCTGTGAACAAAAAAGCTTTAATTCCTAATTTGACCACTTCTCAGTCCATTCCAGCATCATGCAGTGAGGTTTGATCAAATCTAGGTTGGTAGATTTTGTTTGATCGTGTTGAAGCAGAAACCAAACGAACGAACTGTAACGATGACGCACACACTAGCTATCCTTTTAAAATGCGTGTTGCCGAGGAACATGGTTTACATCCTTCATCCCACGTGTCATTCTGTAGTTACCACAATGTCAAAATGAACCATTTAGGTCCATTTAAAGGCTGTGGTCAGACCCAGAAAATGGTCATGTTTGCTGATTCTGCTGAAACTGTTGCATGAAACATTAAATGACTGCGAGTCCAGCAGTAGTTCCACCACTCCAGACTTCTGAGCAACAAGTCCATGACACATTACAGGGAAACAAAGTTTTCCCCGTGACAGATTTTTTTTCCTCTAGCCTTTATTTTCTACTTTTCTTAACCTCAAGGGTGAATCCAACTCATTAGGCAGATGGCGTGAGGGTTTACATCACTGTAAAGAGGAGTAGAAGCTCATGATACAGGTTAAAGGAAATTAGTTATGATGTAAAGAAAAGTACTGAAATCCATTAAAATGAGCTTCATGGTGTACTGTATTACTCTTAAAAGTTATACACTTTTTTTCTCCACAAAAATCCATGTCCATGCAGGAAATCAGTGAAGACAGAACATGTCTGGAGCTGGAAGCTACAGTATAAAAACCATTAGCTTGGTTCTGTTAATGTTAAAGTTCCTCCTTACTGAGCTGGCTTCTTCAACCAGGAAATAACTTTAAGTTAGACAGTTAGTCAGAGGACCAGATTGAACTTTTTTGGATTTTTCTACCTGGATTATTGAGCATGCATCAGGAAACTTTAAGTTTGGTTCTCTTGGCTTCATATGGAGGTAAAGGCTGAGCAACAGTCCACCTATCAGACATACACATTCAGTTCTCCCTCTACTATAAACGGAGCATTTAGAAAGGTTAATGAGAGAAAAACAGTGGTGACCCCACTGCCTCACAGATGACCTCAGGATAGTCAATTTCATAATGGCTTCCTTGGGAAGCCACTTGAGACCTCATCTCATTTGCATCTAATTTGAGTGGAGCATTATTGGGGAGGCTTAACGGGCTTAAAGGACAGTGGGTAAAATTAATTGGAAAATGGGGACAGCTTTCCTCTTCTGGGTTCACTTAACACCTGCCCAGCAGGGACCACAAAACGTGAACACACACCCTGGAGTGTTGATTCTATTTTTCTGTTTGGAGCTGCAGGCAGCATGGTGGTGCAACTGGTACAGCTGCTGCCTCTCAGCGAGCAGGTCCCCAGTTCAAATCCCAGTCCAGGGTCCTCTCTGGGTGGAGTTTGCATGTTCTCTCTGTGCATGCGTGGGTTTTCTCCGGGTACTC